CCCCATGTCCCGCGAGTCCCCCGCCCCCACCCCCACCTTCTCCAGGCACTGACCCAGGGCCAGGTCCTCCACGGGGCTGCTGTGGCCGCAGGAACCGTTGGCCAAAGCGGCCACCAACCTCTTGAGGGCCTCCTTGCTGAGGACGTAACCGGCCCCCCCGCTCATGTAGCCCTGCCCCACGAAGGGCTTGAAGCGTTTCCCGAAGTAGAGGGGGGTCTCGGGGGGGTAGGGGGCCAGGAGCCACCGCAGGTTGGCCACCACCAAGAAGGTGTCATCGTCCGCCTTGAGGAACCAGTCGGCCTCCTCCAGGTGATGCTGGTGGACGTACTGGAAGGCGCGGATGGTTTTCCAGTAGAGCTGGTGGCGACCTTCCCCCACCGGTAGCCCCACGGCCGGGAAGGCGGGGGGCGGTTGGGAGCTCATGAAGATGGCCACGTTGCAGTGACGGGCCCAGGTGGCCCTGACGTGACGAGCCTTGGTCTCCAGGGTGGTGGGACTCGTCATCACCCAGCACAGGACACGCACCCGCTGGAACAGCGCCCGCGCCACCCCGGACTCATCGCCTGCCGGGACCGGGGTTGGGGGGACACACGGCGCCACGTTGGCCACAACGGGGACCACCCCGTTTCTGGCCACGGTGGGGACTACTCCATTCATGGTGGCCATGGTGGGATCCTCATCATGGTGGGCACCACCCCATCCATTGGCCACAGTGGGGACAACTCCAATTTGTTGGCCACAATGAGGAGACCAGCCCTGGTGGCCACAATGGAGACCACCATGTTCATTGGCCACGGTGGGGACCACCATGTTCGTTGGCCACAATGAGGAGACTACCCCTGGTGACCACCATGGGGACCACCATGTTCGTTGGCCATGGTGGGGACCACCACAATCGTTGGCCACGATGGAGACCACCATGTCCATTGGCCACCCCGAGGCCCACCCCATTGGCCCCATACCACCACCCACCACGGATGGTTGGGGGGTGGCCCCCACACCCCCCACCCGCC